TTACATCTAGTATCCACTTACGGATGAGTACACACAGTGTTTGTCTTTCTGAGTCTGGGTTACCTCATTTCAGGATGTTTTGGGTTTGTTTGTTTGTTTTTTCTAGTTCCTTCCAAGAAATGGGCAATATTAATGTGCTCTTGGTGAAGGATATCCTGCCACTTATCTGCTTATGTATTTATTCTTTCAACCAATCATTTTGGCAGTGTGTCATGTAGCTCAGGCTGGCCTCAAACTCACTATATAATCTTCCCTGATGTCCTAATGCTCTTACCTCTTCCTCTCGGAACTGATATTTCAAGCATTTGTCATCATACCAGACTACGCCCTACGATGTCAAAGGTGTCATCTTGCACAGACCCACATAAAAGCCAGGGCCTTTGATCTGCCGGAGGTACACAGGCCTCTGAGTCCCCCACATCCTATTAACTGTCACCTACTCATCAGAGGACTCATCTACACCAGAGCAAGGAGAAAATAATTACTGCTTAGCTTGTGACCTCCAAGATGTAATTTCACCTGTCTCTCCCTTTGTCTCCCCCCCACAGATTTTTTTTGTAAAATCATATTTGCATGTGTGTGCATGCGCACTGGTATGACCGTGTGTCAGGTGCCTCGGGAAGCCAGTGCGTAAAGCATGTAGGATCTAAAGCTGGAGTTACAGGTGGTTGTAAGCCTCTAGATGTGGATGCTAGTAATTGGGCTTAGGACCTCGGGAGGGGCCAGAACAGTACAGCTCAGTCAGTGAGCTCTCTCTAGTCCTTGCCTCGGCCTCCCAGGTGCCAGGTCACAGATTTGTCTGTTTACTTATCCGTCTGTTTGTCTGTGTTTAGCTGTGCAGGTTCTCTCCTGTTATCCACACTGGCCTTGAACTCAGGCTCAAGTGACCCTCCTACCTCATGACAATACAGCTCAGTAGGACCATGCTGGCTAAAATGTGCTTTTTTTTTTTTTTTTTTTTTTTTTTTTTTTTCAGCTCCACAGGGAAGAGGAGGCTGGAGGCTCTGTGATGAGGGCAGGAGTTCTCACCCCCCCCATTCCCCACAACATGACGAAGCTTAGAGAGGCCAGGAGTTTGAGCTCCACATTGTCCTACTCCAGGGCCCATGGCATATTCATCTCAGCTGCAAAGGACATTTGAATGGTACCTGCAAAATTTGCACTATCAGGAATCATCCCAACTTGGTCATGACTCCTGGTACCACAGAGGCTGAGATGCTCGAGTGTGAAGACCATCCCTCCCCTCAGCCTCAGCCCCAGTCTCTGCCCCTTGGTGTGCCTAGGAGTGTGGGTGTGTTCTAGAAAAGTCTAGGGTGGCTGCAGAAGTGGGCCCTCACTTTACTCCCAAGACAGCCACAGCCAAGAAGCCTATTTAAACTAACTACAGTTCTCATTGTTACCACCAGAGGGCGCTCCAGTCCCGCTGGTCCAAACTATGCCGGCGACTAGCATCTTGTGTAAGCTGGATGTCCTGGGCATATTCAATGTCTAACAGCACCGAAGTTGTGCCTGGCTGATTTGGGAAATCCCTTGGGGTTCTGTTGGCAGAGTGTTTATCTAGCATGTTTGAAGCCCTGAGTTTGATCCCTGGCACCAAAGAACTCTGGTGTGGTTGTACATCTCACGAGGGGTTGACCGGAAATTCAAGGTCATCCCCCTCAACATGAGATCCTGTCTTCAAAACAACAAAAACATTTGGGTTGACGACTTGAAGATGCAACACCACTTATCCTGTTGATCTAGGGCAATGCAAGAGTTCCTCTTCTCTCGCTTCTGGATCCTCTTTGGATGCTCCTGCTAAGGGAGGAAGAAAACATCATGGCCACACAAGGGACTTGCTAAAGGTCAAACCGACCCAGGTTTCAGGGCTGTCAGAAAGGGGATTTCCACAGTGTTACTCCATTCTCTGACTCTCGTCTGGGTTTTGGTGGCCTTGGTGTGTCTACAGGGGTATCCAGCAGCATGGATCAATGCTAACATTTGTAAGTATGGTGGAGTACGGAGTATGTCTGTCAGGGATAGAGTGTTTCCTGGCATGTGTGGGAACCTGGTGGGTCTGTGAGCCAGAGTAAATGAACACTGTGTGTGTGTCCATGGATGCACGGACATTTCTAGAAGCTACGAATGCATTTGCATGGGGGCACTATTTGTGCCTGGGTCTGTGTCTCCGTGGGTTAGATGTGTGTGTGTGTGTGTGTGTGTGTGTGTGTGAGAGAGAGAGAGAGAGAGAGAGAGAGAGAGAGAGAGAGAGAGAGAATGAGAATGCACCTGTGTGAGCCAATGAAGTGTGATAGTGTCACCAAGGGCAACTAATGTCTACGAAGCCCACAGTCCTGTGTCTAATCTGTCCAGCCTCTGTTGTGATGGTCCTTGGGACTCCAATATTGTCCCTAAAGGCCACTGAGCTGCAGGCCCTGTGAGGGAGAACAAATATAGTTACTATGTGATACTGTCCATTGATACTTTTCTTTTTACCTTCAGGTAGCTGTGGACAACAGCAAGGACCACCCCTGACCTCTCCCCCTACCCTGGTCATTCCAGACACCTCCATCAACACATCAATGGCACAGGCTGTGAGTCATAAAGGAACAAGCCTTGGCCATGATCAGCATCAAAAGGGACTATAGCAAGGCCACACTGCGAACTGCAGTGTGTTATATAACCACTCACTTTCAGAACACAGCAGGGAAGGAAAAGAAAGGTTGGTATACAGGGGCTCATCATGGAGCCCCTGCCTAGAATCCCCCAGTGAGGGGCTGGGGGCATGGCTTAGTGGTAGAGTCCCTGCCTAGAATCCCCCAGTGAGGGGCTGGGGGCGTGGCTCAGTGGTAGAGTCCCTGCCTAGAATCCCCCAGTGAGGGGCTGGGGGCGTGGCTCAGTGGTAGAGCCCCTGCCTGACATGGGAGCCAGACCCCAGCCTGTTACTGGGGATTATAGGCAGGGGGTGCTCTACGATGAGCCTTTGTAAACCCACCTTTCTTTTCCTTCCTTGTTGTGCTGTGTTGTCTCCCCACAGGGGAAAGAGGGTGAGAGCTGCTGGGACATAATTCTTCAATCGTAGGAGCACAGGGCTGCTCTTCCGCTAATGCTCTCTTCTCCAGCAGACTTTTACCGAGGCCATGTGTGCTCATTAATTCTCTCTCACTGATAGTGGTCACAGGCTGCCAACCATCACAGAGACATGCTCACCTTCCTTCCACCCCCGCAGGCCCTTGGCAGCCAGCCCAGTGTCAGGTTGCCAGAGGCAGCTATGCACACTGCTTCCCCTCGAGCATGCTTCCAACCCCAGATGTTTGAGGTCCCTCAAAACAGACTGAATCGAGGTGGTGAGGTAGCTCAGTCAGGTGAAGGCGGTTGCTGCCATTCCTGATGACCTGAGTTCAATCCCCGGAATCCACATGGTAGGAGAGAACTGATCCCAGCCAGCCGTCCGTCTTCTGACTTCCATGGGCACATCCTAGAAACTGAGCAACAGTGGCAGCCACTACAACAGCTAGAGGAGGCTGAGCAGGGCGGCCCACGCTTGCAATCCCAGCATTCAGGAGGCAGAAGCAGAAGGACCACACATTTGAGGTTATATAAGGAGACCTGTCTCAGAAAATAGACACCAAAAGACCGCTTCACATTCAAGGACCGCACAGCCATCTCAGGCTAAACCACCTTATGACATCAGGGTCCCAGACTCGATGCTTTGAGTGCATTTCCTGATGGCATTTTTTTTGTTTGTTTGTTTGTTTTTGTTTGGTTTTTCAAGACAGGGTTTCTCTGTGTACTCCTGGCTGTCCTGGAACTTACTCTGTGGACCAGGCTGCACTTGAACTCAGAGATCCACCTGCCTCTGAAGTGCTGGGATTAAAAGCATGAGCCACTAATGCCTTGAGCTATACATTAACTTTCAATTATTATTTTGTGTCTGGGTATTTGAGTTGCATGTATGGGTATCATGTGTGTGTCTGGTAACTGAAGACCAGAAGAGGACATCAGAACCCTTAAACTGGAGTTACATATGATTATGAGCCAACACATGGGTGTTGGGATTGAACCCAGGTTCTCTGCAAGAGCAGCCAGTACCTACTGAGCTGTCTCTCCCACATGGTACACCCTGTGACTTTTCTGTGCCTTGTCACCAAGATCAGTGTGATGTGTGAAGCCCACAGCCCCTGTACCCTCCTCCAGCACTTAGCAGCCCAAACACAGCAGCCAGAGTGACAGCTTAAACACAGGGTCATCATCAATGAGGAGCCAGACAAATCACCCCAGACCCTGGCCATTGCCAACACGGAAACAAGAAACCACCTCACTGAGACCAGTTTCTCAACCTGTGGGTTGCAACCCCTTTAGGAGTCAGGCATCCCTTTCACAGGAGCCACATATCAGATAGCCTGCATACCAGATATTTAAATTGTCATAACAGTAGCAAAATTAGTAACAAAGTAGCAACAACAATAATTTTATGGTTGAGAGGTCACCCCAACCTGAGGGACTGTGTTAAATAAAGGATGGCAGCATTTGGAAGGTTGAGAAACACTGTTGTAAACAATTTTATTTGCATGTCAACTTGAGCCCTCTCTTTAAGTGCAAAGTAGGCATCCATCAAAGTTAGTTGTAGACAGAAGACAAAGGACAAAATAACCTCTCCTCTGCCCACTTCCTTTTGCCAGGCTGTGAGCACTTCAGATACATAGCGAGAAGTTAAAACACCATTCAGGCAAGCAGGCTCTACGGACTTCTTTCTTTATACTCTTTGAGATAGTATATAGTTTTTAAATCAATGTATTAAAAAAATCAAATGTGTCTACATCTACACCTCCCCAAAATGAATGACGTCATTGTATAAAAATAAGATCATAAAGAGGACCATGAGAAGGCAGGCTTGGTGGCATATGCCAAAATTCCTAGCAGAGGCAGGAAGATCTCTCTGAGTTCGAGGCCAGCCTGGTCTACATAGTGAGTTCCAGGCCAGCTAGAGCCTCAGAGAAACCCTGTCTCAAACAAAACAAAAACAGATGTAGTAGAACACACCTGCAATCCTAGCGCTCAGGTTGCTACAGCCGTAAGTTGGAGTACTAGGCCAGCAGGCCTGCATAGCAAGACTGGGGGGGGGGATTTAAAAGGAAGAAAGGAAGGGAAAGAAGGAAGAGGGGAGAGAAGGAGGGAGAAAGCCAGTAAAGGTATGGGCGGCGCTGCCTGCCTCTGCAGCCTCCATTCAAGCATGGAGGTAGAAGGAGTCTGCAAGGGAGGGAGGCACCCTGGCGGCTATCACGGGGCAGGCAGGGTGCAAAGGCCCTGGGTTCCCCTCACAGCTGTTCCTCTTGCTCTCTGTGTTCCACATCTGCTCTAGCCTCAGCCCTCAGTACCCTGAGGTTCCTAGCCTCGCCTGCCCTGGGGACTCTCTTAGGCAGAGCTGGCAACCGGGGAGTGTGCCAGAAGGCCCTTCTGCGCTTGCGAAACCATGAGAACCGTCCTGGGGTTTGAAACCTCACCGTCTTTACCTGTTTCTGGGCCCTAGGTCCCCGGCGCATCCCTAAGGTAACAGAACCAGAGGAGGCTTCCGCTACAGCCTGCGGTCCAGTCTCCTCCCTCTGGTCATGGAGGACCCCTGCCTCCTGGTCAGCCGGGACCTCCACCCTCTGATTTTCTGCAGCTTCAATCCCTTGGTTAGCTGGGCCTTCTGCCCTCTGACTAACTATGGCTTCTGCCCTCCGGTCAGGTAGGGCTTCCGTCCTCTGATTCGCTGCAACCTCAAACTCATGATTATCTGGGGCCTCTGCCTTCGGATCCCCCGCAGCCTCTGCTTCATGATTAGCTGCAGCCTCTGCCCTTGGATTAGCTGCTGCCTCTGCTTCATGATTAGCTGGAGCCTCTGCCCTCGGATTAGCTGCAGCCTCTGCCCTCGGATCAGCCGCAGCCTCTGCTTCATGATTAGCTGGAGCCTCTGCCCTCGGATTAGCTGCAGCCTGTGCCCTTGGATTAGCTGCAGCCTCTGCCCTCAGGTTAGGTGCAGCCGCTGCCCTCAGATTAGCTGGAGCCCCTGCCCTGGAATTAACCGGAGCCTGTGCCCTCGGATTAGCTGCAGCCTCTGCTCCACGTTCAGCGGGAACCTCTGGAGGTCCCTCAGCTGGCATGCCTGTCCCCTGAGCTGGGAGTGGCGCCTGCTCCTTCCTGCACCTCCTCAAGGAGACACACTTGATTTTGGGCTTCCAGCGTCTGGTACTCAGTGTCTGGTCGCTCCTGTCTCCTGTGTTTCTGGAGCTATCGTCCCCCCTGGTGTGGCTGCGTCTCAATTCTCCAGCCCTCTCAGCTGCCACGACAGAGGCCTGGCCCACCTCGGAGCCAGATCTGGGTGCCCAGCCCTTCACCCTCTGTTTCAGCTTCCCCCAGGACTCCCGCCATCTGTCTGCCTTGGATGGCCTGGGACCCAGGTTGTCCTCAAACATGGGCACTGGCAGATTGACTCGGCGACGTGGAGGTGGCACACTGGGCTTCTTCTCTCCACGACGGAGGAAGGCCTCCACCAGCTCCTGATCATCCTCGCTCTCCACGTCGCTGCCCAGGAATTTGCTGCCCAAGTAACTGACGGGCATTTTGCGCACCTTTCTGGCCTTCTGGGAGCCCTTGTTGCCTTTGGCTTTGGAGGTCTCGAAGTCACTCAACTCGCTGTCGCTGGCGTTGCTGCTGTCATAGGTGCCTACGATCAGCCGAAGAGGAGGAGTGGCCATCTGTGGGATTCTCCTCACTCGGGGCTGCTTGGCTTTCTTGGGAGGCTGGGGTGGGTGTGGGGTGCTCTTTTCGATGATTCTGGCCACGTCTTCCAGGGTGCGGCCCTCTTCCTGCAGAAACTGGATCAGCCGCTCGCGAAACTCAGCTTCCTTGGTGGCGGGCTTGGAGATGACTCTCCACACGCCCCCAGCCAGCCGGACCTCCCGGGGGATGAGCAGATAGTCAACATCCTCCCCAATCTGCAGCATCCCCACCGTGGAGTCTTCCTCTTTGCGGAACACCTTCCCGATCTTCTTAAAGGTGCCCACGGGCCTTAAGGCCTCCACTAACACGTCCAGATCGACATCTTTGCAGACATCAGGGACGCTCCAGAGAATCAGGCAATCGGGGGAGGGGAGGAAGCCCCAGGGGAACCAGCCCCCGACGTGGCTTTTCTCGAGAGTCTTTAAGATCTCCAGAGTGGACGCTGGGGTGGGGGGCTAGAAGCCCAAACAAACAAAAAACTCAGCTTCTAGTTTTGGGGAGGGGGCAGGGAGGGTTCCAGCAACTCTGCTCATGCAGAGTGTCACCTCCCTGCAATTTTCTCCTCAGGCGACAAGTCCAAGTTGGGTTTCCCCCACCCCTCGGAGTTGTAGCTAGCAAATTTCCAGGATGCTTACGTGAACTGAGGTGCGGTCAGTTCCGAGGCTCAAAGCTCGGTCCAAACTGAAAACGCCCCGGGTCCAAGCTAGCAACGCATGGGCTCTGCTCGCTTCTCGCTTGGCCCCGACACTCGGGGTGCAGCTGAAAGTTTGTGGGAGAACTCTGCAGACAAAGGCGGCTCAGCGTGACCGTTCAATATGGCGAGGCGCTTAAAGGCCTCCGCCCAGCCCCGAGGAGGGTCTCCCGCCCCCAGGAAGGTTGCCACCCGCTCCAGGCCGACCTTTCTTGCTGTCTGCCGTGGAGCTGAGAGCGGCAGGAAGTTTCTGGGCGCCCTCCCCTCCTGGGTGAGGCCCACCTACTTCTCATCTTACACTCTCTGCCTGGGAAGACTGGCAGCGGAGCTGTCCACTCCCTTCAGGGCAGCCTCCCTCTCCACCACTACAGAGGTGTGGCCGCCCCCAGGGCCTCGCTGGGGCCGTGGATTCCCATCTCAGCTTCCAAACCCCACGTCATGGTCTTCCCAAACACACACGCACACACTCAAGGCAGCAGGTCTCCAACCTGCCATCCTCGAAGTGCAAGGCTAAGAAGTGTGTGTAACTATGGCCGAGATCTTTTGAAGGCCATTGCAGTTACCGGGATGGGACCAGAGAGATGGCTCAATGGTTAAGAGCTTGGACTGCTCCTGCAGAGGACCTGGGTTGAGTCCCAGGACCCACGTGATGGTTCATAATCCCGTTATTCCAGGCCCAGGGGGTCTTGTGATCTCTGGGGCACTGCACACACGTAGTGCACATAATACACGCAGACAAGACATTTGTGCACATAAGAAAAGGACGGGCAAGACAACTCAATAGATAAAAACATTTACCATGCAAGCCTGCGGACCTGAATTCAACCCCCAGTACACACATAAGCCAACTCCACAAATTGTTGTCCAATCTCCACACACATAGACTAAACATATGCAAATACATACACTATGATAAACATTTTAAATATTTTCTTAAAAAAAATAAATCTTTAAGACCAAAGAGATGTCGTGATACCATTAGTTCTTAATTTGCTATGTATCCCACGTGACCTCAGACAGTGATCCTCTACCCCATTCTCTGAGTGCTGGCCTTCAGAGCATGCCCGGGCTACTATGCCAGGATGAAAGACAATGTTTTCAACAACGACGACAACAACAAAAACCAAGTAAAGAAGTGACTTTAGGGGTTAGAGAGATGGCTCAGTGGTTAAGAACCCTGACCACTCTTCCAGAGGACATAGGTTCAATTCCCAGCACCCATGTGGCAGCTCACAACTGTCTGTAACTGCAGTTGCCAGGGACCCCACCCTTGAACAGACATGCATACATGCAGGCAAAATACCAATTAACATAAAAATAAATAAATCCTTTTAAAAAGGATTAACATCGGTATGTAACAATTAATGCCAATATAAACACATCTACCAGACATGGAGTGCACAGTTGTGACCCCAGTACTTGGAAGCGAGAGGAAAAAGAAGGTGAGGTCATTCTCAGCTACAAAGAGAGTTCAAAGCCAGCCTGGGTTATAAGAGATCCTGTCTCAAATAACAACAACCCTAGGGACTGGCTAGGTGACTCACTCAGGTCTTGCTGCTCTGGATTTGGTTCCCAGCACCCACATAGTGGCTCACACTCACCCAAAACTCCGGCCACAGGGGATTGGACACTTCCTAACCTCCAAAAGAACCAAACATACACAGACATAGACTTGGGCAAAATACGCACAAAAAAAAAATTTAAATCTTTAAAAGTTAAAGTGAAATAAACGCTTGTGATTGTATTTAACTCAGGGAGACCTTGGAGGCAGACCATTAGCAATGAGGGGGGTGGAGGGGGAAAGGGGTACAGAGGAAGGTGCAGGAGAGGCTGTTCCAGGCTGGGGGGGAGGGACGGGCGGCGCTTTGCATGGGTCCTGCCCTGCCTGCAGCTTCCCCTGTGACAGGGGGCCATTTCTGCTCACTCTGCTTGGCTGAACATTCCTCCTTTTCACGTGGCTGCATTCTAGCCGCTCAACCCTCAGCCTTGAACGGTGATTGCCTCTCTAGACTATCGGTCTCCAAGGCAACCTGGCCAGCAGAGGGGCCCTGGTTGAGCTTAGCAGAGATTTAGCTGGGAATTTATGCGGAGCAAGGAGCAAGCACAGAGACAGACCCTCCCCTCTGGTCCCACCCACCATCCTTAGGCCTCTTCCCAAAACCAGCAGTGCTTTGAAAGCAAATGCCACTATGGCCCAGAGACTCCAGCTTTAATAATAGCGGCATATGATACGTTCTAAATCTTGAGGTTGAGGATTTAGCACTGTGGAGGAGCATTTGCCTAGCAAGTATTAGGTCGGGGTTATAAAGAATTCCAAATCATAGGGCTGGAGACATGGCCCGGGAAGTAGGAGCATTTCCTGCTCTTTGCAAAGGATCAAGTACAGTTCCTAGCACCCACAAGGTGGCTTCCAACCATCTTTAAATACAGTTCGAGGGGATTTGATGCCCTCTTCTGACCTCCAAGGGCACCAGAGGCACACATGGAACACATACGTACACTCAGGAAAAACACAGACAAATAAATACATGTAAGTTTTTGGTTTGTTTTCCAAGACAGGGTTTCTCTGTGTAGCTCTGGTTGTCCTGCAATTCACTCTGTAGACCAAGCTGGCCTCGAATTCACAGAGATCTGCCTGCCTCTGCCTCCTGAGTGATGGGAGAGCCCCTGCCTAGAATCCCCCAGTGAGGGGCTGGGGGTGTGGCCCAGTGGCAGAGTGTTGGCCTATAGATGGCAAGGCCCTGGGTTGAGTTCAATTCCCAATAACAATAACTGAATTTAATAAAACTGAAAGCTAGTGTCTGAATCAAAGTATGCCAGAGCATTATGGCACTGTGGTGCTGTAGCTTGCAGAGGAAGGGATCTGCAGAAGTGAGTCATTCTCCCTTCCAGCTGAGGGTTACTGAAGAAACTTAGCAGGGGAGATTCTCATCCCTTCCCTCTGTCTGCCTCAATGCAGGACTTAAATCCTCTGCCACAGGAGGCAGCTGACATCCCCTGGAAGAGGGTGCTGAGGAGTCAGCCAACCAACCCTCCAAATTCTCATTCCACGGTTCCCGCTGTGAGACCCTGCCTGCCTGGTCTTGGGCTGATCCTTCCAAGGACTGGGATGTAGATGGGGAGGGGGGGGTAAGAGCTATTGTGTGGTATAAACTGAGAGAGCCTGGGCTCTATCCACACTCGAAGACAAACACCTGAGGGTTTCCAAAGTTTACAAAGTATCTTAACTTCACTCCCTGCCTTCAGGGTTCCCTTCCTTACAAAGATCCCCCAGACTAAGACAAACACCTGAGGGTTTCCAAAGTTTACAAAGTATCTTAACTTCACTCCCTGCCTTCAGGGTTCCCTTTCTTACAAAGATCCTCCAGACTAAGACAAACACCTGAGGGTTTCCAAAGTTTACAAAGTATCTTAACTTCACTCCCTGCCTTCAGGGTTCCCTTTCTTACAAAGATCCTCCAGACTAAGACAAACACCTGAGGGTTTCCAAAGTTTACAAAGTATCTTACTTCACTCCCTGCCTTCAGGGTTCCCTTTCTTACAGAGATCCCCAGACTAAGACAAACACCTGAGGGTTTCCAAAGTTTACAAAGTATCTTAACTTCACTCCCTGCCTTCAGGGTTCCCTTCCTTACAAAGATCCCCTAGACTCATAATTCTAAGAAAAAGAAAAGTTAATTTCTTACTAGTTTGGTTCTGTAATAATTAGAGTCAGACTGAGTCCCGGAAAGAACCAAGGGCGTGGCTCACTGGGATTCCAGCTTTGGGAAGGCAGAGAAGATCAATTCCAGGTTATTAAGACCTTGATATATATATACATATGTGTGTGTGTGTGTGTGTATGTATGTGTATATGTGTATATATATTATAAATGTAATATTTATATTATATATATATATGATATATAATAAGGGCAGGCCAGACTGCTCAGCAGATAAAGGCACTTGACACTAACTCTGAGTTCAACCCAAGGATACACACCTTGGGAGGACAGAACCAACTCCCTGTCCTCTAATACACACACACACACACACACACACACACAAATGCAACAATATTTTTAAAAAAAAATAAAAAGAACAAAGTAGGAGAAAAATGGCTTCCCCTTTTCTCTTCAGGGACAGGTAAGGACAGTTTACCTGAAGAGCTATTTGGGGGTTTTGAGGGAGGTTTTTTGTTTATTTGTAGCACTGAGTGTCTTGGAACTCCTTATATTGATAGACCAGACTGGCCTTGAACTCACAGAGATCCTCCTGCATCCACCTCCCAAATTCTGGGATTAAAAGAATGTACCACCATGCCTAGCTTGAAGGATAGGACCTGTCACTGTTTTGTGGTTCAGTTAGGGTTTTTTTTTGGGGGGGGGTGTATCTTTTGTTTCATTTATTTTTATCAATTTCTAAACAAAATTTATTTTACATGTAGGTGTGTTCTGTCTGCATGTATGTATGCGCACCACTCGCCTACCTGGTAGGGTTGGGGGAGGATAGTTGGGGCAGTGGGTCCCCAGACACGGAGTAAGATGTAGTAAGTCTGGGGACTGAACATAGGCCTTCTGGGAGAGCATTGTGCTCTTCACTGCGGAGCCCTCTCCCAGCCCCTCATACGCAGCCAACTCAATGCATAGTCGAGATTGACCTTGACTTTCTGATTCTCCCGCCTCTTCCTCTCAAATGCTGGAATGAGGGGCACGTGCCTCCAAACCCAGTGTTTGCATCATTGAGGATCGGATCAGGGGCTTCTTTCGTGCAAGCTAGGCAAACAGGCACTCGATGGCAGAGCTACATAAACAGGGTTTTTAAAAAGAAAGCGGGGGGCGGGGGTTAAAGCAGGGTTTCATGTGGCCAAGACTGGCCTTAAACTCATCTGTCT